TGTATGAACAGCCTCTCTTTGTAGTTTTCGTTTTTTAAATGCTTTTGTTTGTTTTGCATAGTTGCATTTAACTTTAAGTTCTTCTTCATTTTCCCTTTTGTTTTGCAGTTTCAATACATTTATTGAACACAAGTTTTTCTGTGACATTTCATTTTAGTTGTTTTATGTACTTTATAATTGTCATGCAGCTTTGCTTTTTTATATAAATACTGTATTTTTTTTATTGTTCTTTTCATTTCTATTTACCGTACTGTTTTATATCTATTTAAAGTTTGGGTCTGCCGTTTTGTTTTGTTGGTTTTAGTCTGAATTCAGCAATTGTAAACTGGGCAAGTGCAAAATTTAACAGTTACACCATAACAAATGGTTTGGATATAATCATATGCATAAAGTGCCTGGTGTGATCCCATCAGCAATGCCTTAACTAAAGAAATACTTACTTATAAATATAAATTAATATATAAAATAAATAAATGAACCTTTCCTTAAACATAACCATTGCTAACACTTGCCAGTATTTATCATTAACTGTTTTTCTTGTCAAGATTCCACTGAAGAACTGAAGTTTGGTTTTTGATCCAATATTTTCTAGGGGAGAGAAGACAGTTTTAAGGAAGCTGGGTCTGAATGTGCTCTCAGAAAATGAGGTCAGTGAATGCACAGCATCCCAAGCCGTATGTTTCAATAGTTTTGGGGTAGTTTTCTTTACAGATGTAATGACTAAACTTTCAGAAAAGTAGGAAATTAAAACAATGGTATTTTACTTTAAATACTTTATTTTGAAGGAAGGAAAACATTTGGCAACAAAGCCCACAATCTTCTACCTCATGCATTGTGGGAAAGCCCTGTACAACAACATTTTGTGGAACAACTGGAGCACAAAATGTCTTCCTCTGATCATGATTATCTGAAATGGCTTTACTGGCATGAAGTACAGGTTTGTTAAAGACAATTATGAGGGAGATGATTGTCAAGTTTGAAAAATTTGAAGAAATTATTATGCTAACTTTTGGTCAACTTTCTACAAACAGGTCATTTGACAGAGAATTTCAGTGTGACTACAGCTACATGAACCAGGCTTTGGATGTTTGTGAAGAGAAACAGCTGCCTTGTCCAACACGTTTTAGTGATGTTTTTGGTGACACAGCAACCATTACCTTTCCTCTTGGCAACCTAAGTAAACTCCCACCATCCACCTGGACAGAGCCACAGGAACAAGAGTACCAACACTGCCCTGATTTAGAGATTATTCTGAAGAAAATTCAGATGTGATACTCAGAGAAGGAGATAATGGACTTTTAAAATACTATTTAAAGAAAATAATTATGATCTGTTTTTGTTGTATTTTCATAGATGGTATTTTTTTATATTGTTGAAATCTACTGCACATCAACATGACAGATTTCCATTGTTGAATTTTAATTTTTGTGTGCAAAATCAAGTTAATGTCAAAATAAATTGCCATTGTGTTTTCATGCTTTTTAAATAAAAAAGAGCTATTGTATCTTAAAAAACAATTAAAATACATTAAACGCACTTTAACTCCTAGCTTTGCTTAACATTTAATTTGCTTTATTTTAATACTAAAATGTGTCTATAAGTTGTACGTACTCCAGTTTCTGAATTGTAGTGTACACCATGTTTCAGTAGGAAATCCACGCAAGTCTCCACATGAGGTCCCTGGGTTAAAAAAAAAAAGTTTTTTTAAGTTAACCAGTCAAAGTTCGTCGTAACTCATTCTCCATGGTGATATAGCCCAGGGGAATACCCTGGGTCTGAAGTTGTTACAGAAACTAAAAGTTGACAGTGTGTAGTGATGGTGAAACCTGACCTCAGTATGACCTGAGCTGGGGTCTTCTGGTATCTCTGGGCGATGGTCTCCAGCTGAGGATCCTGCAGTAGACTGGGTTCATCAGGAGATGCCCACGGTCTGTCTCCACTGCCCAGAGGACTGTAGGCTGTCACACACACTCCTACTGACCTGCGGCAGAGGTTTTGTCTTTATGACTGACATAGGAGACAACCTCACAGCCAAACACTGTCATTCTACAGCTTACAAGCAGACTGAGACACCTGCTAAATAAACTGATAAATGTTGTTGATGCTTTACTGAAGTTTTGAAAGTTGCGACTCTTGACGCATTCTACAAGCCACTGCCAAGATGAACAGTAATAACTACAATTCAACACAATGAAGCAGAATGAAGTGTTACTTTTGTATATTTTTCTTGAGATCTTTCCATATTAATAATTCCATCATTTGGATTAGTCAGTTGCATTGACCGGCAGTGAGACAGAAGGTCTGCTTGAGTCATGTAGGGATGACACTCCACTTGTGGTGAGAGGAGAAATGAACATCCATCCATCCATCCATTTTCATCCGTTTATCCGTTACGGGGTCGTGGGGGCAGCAGTTTCTATGACCGCCACCCAAATCACACTACAACCATCCTAACCAGGATTCGATCTTGCCCAGGAGGTGAACCCTGGGGTTTAACACCAATGACAGAGACATTGCCTCTGGGCCAAAGCGCCATAAATGAACATTCTATTTATAAAACACTATAAAACAGTGTTTCACATGGTACCTGGTTGACCACAGGTTTGTGTCTGGCCATGCTGATGATGTCATCACTCTGCCTGGTGTTGAAGTTAGACAGGCTGAAGGGCTTTGACCAGACCTTTGTCCACTAAGCACTCCATGACCTTCCACGTGTCTCTTTTTTTTTACTTT